GTACACAGTGTACACCTCAAGCGCAGAGCTATCCTCAAGTGTTTATAAGCAAAAAATCAACAAGTACGAGTCCAGAACGGGAATAAAGGTGAGTGCCCACAGTCTGATACATTAACTCACCCTAATGAACTGAGCCTTAATTCTCGCCCGTAACATTGGTCCTTCCGCCGCAGATCCCTTTCTGAACTACATACATATTTTACTTATACTCAATTAAATTGATTATCATAATTAATTTCTCAAAATTATCTAAATATCATTAATATTTTTTGTAATATATTATTTTAAATATATTCAATAAAATAAATTCTCGAACAAAATCTATATTTATCTTCTCTTTAACGCAGTAAAAAAAAAAGGTACATTTTTGTCACTGGTTCCACTGACCAGCAATTTGCGACCGACCGATCGATTTTAAATTGCCGTACCGGTGTTAAAAGCGATATTTAGCGCTGTTTCGCGATGCTGGTCCGGATATTTCTTTTTACGCTCAAATTTATCGATACGCATTTAGTCTCAACTGTAGTCTGTTCGCTCTCTTAATAATTTATTTTTACTCTCTCTCTCTCTCTCTCTCTCTCTCTCTCTCTCTCTCTTTACTTATCACCTTATAAAGTAACTTTATAAAGGTGATAACACTACTACTTTCTCACCTTATAAAGTAAAAATATAATAATTATTTTCTCATATAATATTTTATTGTAGAATATATCATTCTCTCTCTCTCTCTCTCTCAGTTAATTATTATATTCTATAATATTTTATTTTCTCTCACATTATAGCATTCCATTTCTCTCTTACGCTCTAATTAATTATTATACTCATTTTCGCTATGTCTGCAGACGCTCGCAAATTAAAAACTCTTATAGCTCAACGCTCTGTAGAACTTACTAAAATTCCGCTGATCAAGCTCTTGAAGATCCAAATTTTCACCCCTAACTTTAGATGTAGAGCAAAACACTTAGAAGATATTTATAAAACTTTTGATAAGATTCATAATAATATAATTTTATTAGTTTCCGCACAGGATAATGGCGATATTGATCCTCATGTCAAAATTGAAACTGAATTTAATGATGATTATTTTCACATTGAAGCATTATTCACAAATTTATTTCCACCAAACGAAATCGGAGCTGGATACTACACAATTACAAAACACTACTGCTCAATGTTCAGTAAAACTTCCTAAAATTGAGGTACCCCATTTTGATGGTGAATTTAAACATTGGCAAACATTTATCGATATGTTTGATTCTCTTATACACTGTAACTCGTCTCTTAGTGATATATCGAAATACAACTATCTAGTGAGTTTCTTACGAGGTCCTCCTTTAGCTTTGGTATCTAGTACTCCACTTGCCAATCAAAATTATAATATAGCATATCAAGCCTTAAAAAATAAGTACGATAAGAAACGTTTGATTGCAAAAGCTCACTGGCAGGCTCTAGAAAATATTAAGCCCATCTCTAACGAAAATAATCATGAAGCTCTAAGAAATATGATTGATATTTATACTCGTAATATTACAATTTTAAATAACTTGGGTTTTCCCACAGAGAGCTGGAGTTTTGTGCTATTTAATATGATTTATGATAGACTTCCAGAAATTTTGCAAACTAATTTTGAACTGGAATGTGGCTCTGTTTTATCACAAGATATGCTATACCTCAAATCATACGATACACTCATTGAATTTTTAGAAAAACAATGTTCAGCTAAAGATACAATCTCTCTAACTAAATCGTTTTCTCATTTTAATAAAAATAGTAATTATGACAAAACTAAAACGAAGTATTCACAAAAAAGTTATAAAAATAAACCTACCTCTTCCTTTGTTGTCAACACTCAGTTGAAACAAAATTTAACTTGTCAAGTTTGTAACAAGGATCATTTTATTTATAACTGTCCAGATTTTATTGCTTTTACTCCAAAACAGAGATATGATTTAATTAAATCCCGAAGTTGGTGCTCAAACTGTCTCGGCACTAGACATTCTTCTAAGAGTTGTAATTCTCGTTCCTCATGCCGAACTTGTGGCAAAAAACATCATTCGCTTTTACATTTCGAAGGTCAAATAACAACTCCTGTAAACGTTCCTCCATCCACTTCATCGCAAACTCTTCCAGTTCTGCAAGCAAGCAGCTCTATCTCAGAAGTTGTATCTACAAATTTATTTGCAAAACATAAGAATAAAGCTCTTCTTTCTACAGCATTAATCAATGTTCAAGATGCGTGGGGTAATTTTCATGTAATACGCGCTGTAATTGACAGTGGAAGTGAAAGTCACTTTATTTCAAAATCTTGTTTTAATAAATTAGGTTTATCTAAATTTTTCCTCCCCATCCAATTGTGTGGCATCGGGAAAAATATTTCCAAAGGTTCTCACGGTGTTAGATGCAACATTAAACCTATTGGAAAGTCTGATCCGATCTACTCCTTGGAGTTTATTATATTAAACGAAATTAGTGATAATTTACCGATTAATTCTCTTCCCGTTGAACAGTTCTCAAAGTTTTCTCAATTGCCCTTAGCTGATCCCAACTTTCACCTCTCTAAACCCGTAGATATACTTTTGGGTGCAGATATTTATGGTTTCTTGATAACAGGAAACAAACTCCTCTCAGATCCAGATCAACCCGTCGCTTTAGAAACTATATTTGGATGGATAATTACAGGAAGAGTTAAAACATCTAGTGTTTCACTCTCTGTAAACTCATACTTTCTTACCTCTTATGCTTCCTTGGATCAATCACTTCAAAGATTCTGGGAGTTAGAGGATCCACAATCCTCGACGCTTTCTTCAGATGAAAAGCTTGCCGAAGAACACTTTTTGTAAAACATTTTCATGCACTCTTTCTGGACGTTATAAAAGTATCTTTACCATTTAAAACTTTGGAACCGATCTTTGAAGGTTCTAGAGATGTCCCTTCGTAGATTTTTCTCGCTCGAAAACGATTGCTTGAAACCCCCAACTTTATTCTCAATATTCTAATTACATGTGTGAATATTTAGATTCTCAATATATGATTGCCGTGCAAAATCCTTCTCCCAACGCTTATTCTTATTATCTTAGAGTTGTCTTTGATGTTTCCGCTCGAGATTACACAAATAAATTAAAACTATTTTACTTCGATTTAGATCGCATTTGATTGTATTTGCTAGCGATATTAAACAAATGTTTTGTCAAATTCTTGTTAATGAAAATCATAATGAATACCTCAACATTTTGTGGCGATTTAACGCTAATGAGTCCATTCAAGAATACAACTTACTCGTGTTACTTTTGGTTTAAGCTGTAGCCCATTTTTAGCCATTCGAGTTATAAAACAAATTGCTTTAGAAAATTTAGTAAAATATCCCGAAGCATCAAAGATTTTAGATATGGATACGTCTGTCGATGATATTATATCTGGTTGCGATTCTCTTTCTCTTGCTATAAAAATTCAACGCGATCTCATTTCTATACTCAAACACAGCGGTTTTGAACTTAGAAAATGGACTTCGAATAGCTCAGATTTTCTTTCTCAGTTATCTCCAAATGAATGCAAAATGGATTCTTCTCTCTCTTTAAATATAAATTCTCTTTCTTCCTCTAAAGTTCTAGGACTAAACTGGAATCCCTCTACAGATGAATTTTCTTTGATTCACCAGCGTTGTCCTTGACAAACAAAATCTGTAACAAACGCACTATTCTTCAAACCAAACCAAACTCGCAAGCATATTCGATCCTTGTGGCATGTTAGTTCCTCTCACTCTTCACCTAAAACTGATTATACAAGATTTGTCGAAGTTAGGTATACATTGGGATGATCCTGCTCCCAATAACATTGCTACATCTTGGCATCAACTCGTTCAAGAATTACCTTGTATTTTCTCTCTCAAAGTTCCTCGATATTTTCTCACTCTCAAATATTTATCCCTGGAAGTACATGGTTTTTTGTGATGCTAGTGAAAAAGGCTATTGTGCAGTAATTTATTTTAGGATAATTCTTCCAGATAACTCTGTAAAAACAAATTTTGTCTGCGCTAAAGGCAAAGTAGCTCCACTCAAAAAAATCTCAATTCCAAGACTGGAACTCTGTGCAGCCTTACTTCTGACCAGGTTAATTGATTTCGTTAGAACTTCTCTTACTAATAAACTTATTAATGTTAGTACGATTGTATGGTCCGACTCGATGGTTGTTTTACATTGGCTTAGAAGTGAACCATATAAAGTGGAACACCTTTGTGAGCAATCGAGTTTCCCAAATTCAAGAGAAATTACCTCCTTCTTGTTGGCGTCATGTAGTCTCCAAAGACAACCCCGCTGATCAGGTTCTCGTGGTCTTCAACCTAGCGAGTTACTCAACAATGCCTTATGGTGGGCGGGACCTCCATGGCTAAGCCAACCGGAATCTTATTGGCCGCAATCAATTTTTACTTTTCCTGAAACTGAAGAAGAACAACGAAAGTTATATTGACATGTACTTCACAGCCCTCATTGTTTGATACTCTCTTTGAAAAGTTCTCTTCTTTTTTTCTAAAATTATAAATATTGTCACGTTTTGCAGACGCTTTCTCTATAATACTCGACATTCTAAATCTCGTAAAACCTCTCCTCTCTCGAAATTTGAAATAAATGAAACTCTAGAATGTATTTTAAATGTGTTCAATCACAATATTATGCTAGGGAAATTCTCTTAATAAATAATCGCAAATCTCTACCTAAATACTTACGAAAATTGACCCCCTTTCTCGACACCAATGGAATTCTTAGAGTTGGTGGTCGCTTGCTTTAATGCTTCTCTAAATTTCTCTCAAAAATATCCCGCACCTCTTACCCAATAATCATAAATTTACTACTCTACTCATAGAATATACTCATAAACTCTATTTGCATCCCGGTCTCCAAACTCTTCACTATATTCTCGCTCAACAATACTGGATTGTTTCTGCTAGAAAAACAATTCGTAGTGTTCTCTTTAAATGTCCTCAATGCTTTCGCGCTAATCCAGTAATGCTTCAGCCTCCTATTATGGGAGATATTCCTGCTGTAAGACTTTCTCAAGTAAAACCTTTCTCTGAAGTTGGATGCGACTATGGCGGTCCATTCTCTTTATTAAGATATCGTGCACGAGGTGATAAGTCCTATAAAGCCTATATTTGCTTATTTGTGTGCATGGCCACGAAAGCTTTGCATTTAGAACTTGTTTCCGACCTTTCCTCCGAGACTTTTCTGGTTGCACTGCGTCGATTCATTTCTCGTAGAGGTCGCTGCAATCATATTTATTCCGATTGTGGAACGAACTTTGTCGGAGCTTCTAGAGAACTGATTAATATGCTAAAATCCGCCGCTGAGCAAGAACAAATTTCCTGGCACTTCAATCCTCCAAGCGCGCCTCATTTTGGTGACCTGTGGGAAGCAGGAATAAAGTCTGTAAAACTCACATTAAAAAGGGTTATTGGTGATCAATTGCTCACGTATGAGGAATTTTATACTGGTTCAAATAGAAGCAGTGCTTAATTCTCGTCCATTGTGTCCACAAAGCTCTGATCCTAATGATTTGTCAGTTCTTACTCCAGGACATTTTTAACCCTAGAGCCGTTAAACGCCCCTCCGGAAGATGATCTTTCCGGGATAAAATTAAATCATCTCTCGCTGGCAGTTGATATCACGCTTGCACCAAAGCTTTTGGAGCCGATGGTCTAAAGAATACCTTCAAACACTTTTACAAAGAGCTAAATGGAATGAATCTACTATTCCAATAGAAATAAACTCGGTTGTTTTAATAAAGGATGATAATCTAATTCCGCTCAAATGGAGCATTGGAAGAGTCTTAGAGATTCACCCGGGCCATGATCGTGTTACACGCGTGGTTACTTTAAAAACAGCAAAAGGCATTCTTAAAAGACCAGTGACAAAGATATGCCCACTGCCTTACTGCAAATCTCAAAATTAAAATTTACTCTCTAAAAAAAAAAACATAATCGCAAAAAAAAACATAATCTCATTATAAACATAATTCACATCTCTTATTTAATTACTTTTCTCTACTCTATAACAAATGTAAACTCTCTTAATATTTAATTAAATCACACTCATGCATTAACCCCAATAATGCATTTTTCTAAATTCCTCTAAATTTAACTCCATAAATTTCACTCTTACTTTCTTTTAAACATAACGCATTTTTTCACTTTTTTTTTTTTTATTTTACTTTACTATTCTCAAACGAAAATGGAAAATATTTCATTTTGGTGGGCGGTATGTTGGATTCTATCCCTTCCTCCATCCTTTACCCGAAAAACCTTAGTGGGTACGTAGCCGCAGTCGAATAGGCAGAGTGACAAGATCGGCCGAGTACACAGTGTACACCTCCGCGCGCGCGCTATCCTCAAGTGTTTTATAAGCAAAAATCAACAACTAGCGAATGTAAGAAGAGAATTTTATGATCGCCTGGGTTATTGTCTAGCAGTCGATGGAGAAATATTTGAACATCTTAAATCCTAAAGTTCTAACAATTTAATAGTACCTAAATTAATAAGTTATTGAATATTGTAATAATACTATAATTAACCTTGTAATTGATTACTTTATTTTACTTTAATTCATATTAATTTGTATTTATAAATACGAGTACATCTTTAAGATTTCCGATGTAGGAATGAGTTTTCAATAATAATAAAGCACTAAATAGGTAAACTTCTGAAATTACAACTTTATTTGACAGTTATCTTTTACCTTGACTGGTGCTCATAAGTAAATACAGGGCCATAAGAAAAGAGAAATATTTAACAAGAAATCGGCGATAACTCGTAAGCTAATCAAAAATATCTAAAGTTATTCGTTTGAATGTGAGTTTTAGTGCTCTTCAATAAACCTAAATAGAATTATTCCCTAAAATAATTAGGGAAGTCAATAATTGACCCCATTAAAATTTACATGGGATTTCCTATGTCCCGTCCGACGATGCAACACCCGGTATCTTGGCAGTTAATAATAAAATAAAAAGAATGATTTACACATATCATTCATTCGTTCTACTAATTGCCTAAGCCTGGATAGTTTTTATGGGGAAATCAGTGCGGAAATCGGGGAAATGAGAGAAAAATCGTGCTTTTCCCTCGAGTGTTGGACAATAAAAACTGAGCTGCAGCAATAAAACGCTGATCGATTGGACTAGAAATAAACGGATCACGCGAAAATTCGCTAGCCACTCCACTTATTATCGGACTAGTCAATTAAACCATTAGCAGGGCACTGCATGTTGGTGGCTCAAATTAAGAACTTGAATTTAATATCGTTACTATTTTTCTCGTAGGTACTTTAAAATGTGATGATTAAAAAAACATATAAATTAAGCATTTCATTTTTTTAATAAATAAATTGCTGAAATGTTTTTTTTAATCGGTTTGCTAATTTTTTAAAAATCTGTATATTGAACATGTATTACTCTATACCGGTGTGTCTCAAAAGAGGCTCACCCCTATAACTTTTATTTTTTCAGATAAAAAAAAACGAGATTTGGCATGTTAGTATACGATATAAATTAGGATTGATTCACGTATCCAATTGTTTTTGGTTACTTCCTGTTTCACCGGAAATGACTACAATTTTTGATTTTTAAATGGCACCGAAATTCGATAGAAAATGACATTCTGAATAGAATGACATATCATATGTCAACTTTTGACATTTTCGCTTAATAAAAAATCGTATTTCAAAATTTAATCTATAGAGTGGCCATGATAAGAACACTAATTCTTAATCAAGGAATCTTGGAAAAGTAGATTTGATCGTTTAATGTTTTTAGTGTCTTATCCTGGCCAGTTAGAAAATGCTTAAATCGTATTTTTAATCATATCTCAATTTTTTCAAATGGAACGAGGGTGGCTCATTAGCATATTTGGGAAAAGCATTTTTTTTACAAATAATTTGGTACCACACATTTAGTATTTAGAGTCAAATTTTCGCGAATTTCATACGCGAAAATGTCAAAAGTTGACATATGATATGTCATTCTATTCAAAGTGCTATTTTCTATCGAATGAAGTAAAAAAAAATACCGAGGGTGCCAATTAAAAATGATAATAAAACAGTTTCTGTTGAACTTTTTGTATAAAAACATTTCAAATTTATTATTTCAGTCTAATAACTATTTAAACGTTCTCTAATCTAGTGTGAGTACATATTATCACTGCAAAACCTTTTTTTAAAATAAAAGCATACTCACACAAAAGTCACCTAGAAGTACAACCACTCGGAAGAAATAAAATTAGTTAGAGCTGTTAACATTTACACAACTCATTCATTGTAATTATAAATTGTATAACTCTTCAAGAAGGAAGCCTTTCGTTGTAATACCAAATAAATGTCTATATCATAATCTCCAGACCATATTATTTCGATTTTTCATTTTAATTTTTAACGAGAATGAACGTTCGTCTTAAAAGAATGTTTCTGTGATAATGTAAAATTAAAATTAAGTTGTGTAAATGTTAACAGCTCTAACTAATTTTATTTCTTCCGAGTGGTTGTACTTCCTAGGTGACTTTTGTGTGAGTATGCTTTTACTTTAAAGAACACAAGTTTTAATTAAATTAAAATAAAAAAATAATTCTTCTACATATGTAAATTAAAATAAATTATAATTTGTAAAAATTAAACTAAAGTAAATATTAATTTTCTACAATATATAAATTTGAAATAAAAATTAAAATTCAACATATACTAATTATAAAATAAAAAAATAAACATAATTCTTAACTTGTTCCTAACATAAAAATATATAAAAAAATATATCACTCAAAATAAATTTAACTAATGCTTAAGTAGATTTCTTTGAAATGTGCATTGAGGTATGATTTGATTATTTCCGTGTTTTTTTCTTTCAATTTATCTAATTATAGTTGATTATACGGCTCCCCTCACCTTATGATTTTAGTCTTGTTGTTTTTAATTTTTCAAATTTAGCATACCATATTGTTATCTGTGATTGAATAATTTTTGTGATAGATATAATTGTTTGACTTTGTAAAATTTTTTTTTTTGACTTTTTAACTTGTGATTGTATTTTATAAATTTGACCTCTGTAATTGTTTTAGCTTTGGGCCTGATGATGGGAATATTTTAAATTCCCGAAACATGTCACCCCCCTTGCTTTTTTAAGCATTAAAATTTAAATTAAACAACTTAAAGATTGTGAGTTATTCTCCTTTGACCCTGCCTTCAAAGGTTTTGCTTTGATAATAACTATTTCGTCAACATGTTTAATTTATGTCAATGATGGCAGGTATTGATAATTTCGATTCCAAATACCTCGATTACCATTACTCGTAGCGATTTTTACCAAGAGACATTTTTTATGTAAAAAATGTCGTAAATGTATATTTTTTGACTCATTAATTTTAAACATGTACGGACGAAAAGTTATTACTCTTGAAACCAGTTAAAAAATATGTAGGTGGCGCCCTCTACAAGTAGGAGTCACATTGACATCAAAATCAAATGTCTCATGTTAAAAAACTTCCATACACCAATTTTCATCCAAATATGACGTTACTTCAGAAATTATTTGGAAATAATCGAAATAAAAATGAAACTTCTACACCCTGTATCTCCCAAACTATGCGTTTTAGAACATACATTTATACGAACTTGTTTACTTATTTTTATCTGCAGAATTTGCTGCCAAAGTTTCAGGAATACTATTCGGACCACCCTGTATATGGTAAACATATAATGATAAATTCCTGTTGTTTATGGTTTTATTAAATTTTATTTGGAATTGAAACCAGGTATAACATCCTTACTATTTTAGCTCGAGTCTCTCAACTGCGCGACGAAACATCCTCAAACAAAGATTTCTATTAAGCCGCATCATGAACAATGTTGAAAGCGGCGTTTTAGCATCGTAAAGCGCTCGTATCTGTATCGATTCGGGCTCTTGACAGCGAATGCGATCGTCCACGGTTGCTTTTATCGTCGACTCAGCGAGAACGCGGTGCGAATCGTTAGGCACGTTGCGTCAACACGAAAGAGCGAGAGGCAACTAGCGATAGCCAACGGTAGACCTAACTCCTGTTGAATGAATTTTAGCTTTGGGAAGTATATATTAATTTTAAGTGTTATTATACATATTCCAGTTTAAGTTTGCATGAGTTTGACGATGTAAAGCTTTTATAACCAGAACTTAACATAATTTAAAGATTTAAGCAAGTAAAAGAGCTTCCAAAGAAAAGAGAATCATGTACAAGTAAATTATGTCAAAGCATAATATGTATACAAGATGAGTCTTAAATTAGTGCAAATATTTTTAGGGGTAGTATATTTTGAATCCAGAAACACGTCTAAGAAGTTATTTTTGCAAAAAATTGAAAATTCGGAATTTTTTGAAAAAAATTCGAAATGCTAAGAATATTGCTTCGGAGACAGTCTTGATGGCATATTTTAGCGAGATGGCAAGGCAGAAAAAGCCATC